ATACCTTAAGCGTTTTAAAACCACGTGGCACTACGTCACTTGAGCGCTCTTAGATGCCACCGCTTCTTGCTCAGAGGGCAGTTTCCCAATCAAATGTTCGTTTTTTGTTAATTATAAAATATTATGGATTTTTAAGCTTTTATTCTGGTTCTCAAGGAACTGCCAGCTATTTAAACTCTACCTTTATCACTACTCACCGAGTTTAATAAAAATATCGACCATTTGGAGGTTGTCTTTGGCTGTTGCAATTGAAGGCGCTGGCACCCGTAGCGGCCTGTGCACCCCGCGACTCGGCCTTACAAGAAGAGGAGAACGCAGTACAATGCAAACTTTAATGTCAATATATACAGAGCTTTAAAGAAAACATTTTTTTAAAATTAATGAAATAAATACAGTATGGTACAAAAATCCACAATATGCTTAGAGAAAGAAATGACAGTTACGATATCTGTTAACGGGGACCTTTTGTACCGCCTCGGCTCTGACGTACCTCGGAGCGCGTCGCGCGCCGCGCGCGGTTAATGCCCTTTCGCCGAGTGAGATTTACAGCCAGTCACGTGCCAAACGGGTTGAGCTCTACTCAGTATCAGTGCAAGGATGCCAAAGTGCTTGGGATATCAGGACCACGCAACTGCTTGGCAAATGCTGCTCACGGACCTAATGCGACGCACGGAACGGGAAGGCTTCGTCCTGCAAAGGAGACCCCGCGCGAGCGGCTCTGCCCCGGCACGCCGGGACTCACTGTTAATTACACACCCCCTTGTAATAAGTTATTTCCCAAGCCTCAGTTATTAAGCGACATAACCAATTAAAAATCCTCTAAAGCTTTCGCACTAATTTTTATGAGAAAAATTGCTCATATTCAGGAAAACCTCGAGGAAACCAGGAATTGATTAATCTGCATGGGACTTTGGTTAGGTAAGTGATGCTATCATTCAACTCAGCTCTAGCTGCACACCGACTTATTTCTTGCTTTGCATTCATCCTTACAGTCCCAAAGGAGAGATGCGGGTTTATCCAAGTTAAGAAAATAATTTGGTGGAGTCAATATTTGAAAAAAATTAAAAAACAAATGAAAGCTGAACGCCACGCAACAAAAAAAAACCCACACTGAAGTGGGGACAAGCAGGATTCAGAATGAACTTCACTAAAAAGGTGCTAATGCGGAAGGGTGGCCTGTCACCAACAGCAGCATGTATGTGTTACCAACACGGATTAGTACTTAGAACATTTCTGAACAAATTTGAGAAGCAACTTTTTTTTTTTTTTCTCTCTCTCTTTTTTTTTAAGCTCCCACGGCATATGTGAGGACTTCATCCCCCTATGGCTTAGGATGCCGTCAGGAAACTTTGAGGGAGACAAGTCTGCTCCTTCCATCCTGCTTTCCCTCGCACACATAGTAGCAAACTTTTAATTCTAGATAGGACTGAAAAAAAAAAAAAAATCAAGTGCTACAGAATGACATAAAACCCCGTATTGATTAGTCTAATTCCATGGGTACAAATCTGGATGATTACAATGATTTTCTGAAATTCATTAAACTCCACCCTTATCCTAACTTTTCAATGTGACTTTTGAAGACAGAGGGAAGAGCAGCAACCATCACCGTAAATGACCTCCTTATATGCATGCTGCAAGCCATTTCCAATTGTTGAAATTTGGCAGAAAATCTTTTTGATATTTTGACCAGTTTCTTCTGTATAGAGAGCTTAAAATTTGGATAATTATTAAAATATGGAAGACTCAATTTGACACAACTGACCTGGGGGGGTTTGGATTCTCTCTCTGAGCTCAAGCGAATGTTTAAGCCATACAACAGCAGCAAGCTCAGACCACCCTCGCCTTGGCCTCTTGGTGTGGGCAGAAGGAATTTACTACTTCCAGGCTTAATGGAAAAAAATAAAATACACAACCACTGACAACAGCATTCAGGCTGCAAAAACCACAAGAGACTGGCTTAAATCATCCCACTAATGCTCTCTGGTACGGGCACTCTTCATGAAGCACCTCTGGCTGCTGCTGAGGCCACAGCAGAGCTTTGGAGTTCAATACAGGAATACAACAGAGTTCTCACCTTTTTTTTCAGGAAAAAGGGAAAAAAAAGAGTATTTGAACATAACTATAAGCATCCACAGAATGAAATGATCAAAAGGGTCAGCTGCTGGCTCCAACTCCAGTCGATGTCAAAGTCATTAGTTCTCTGGCAGCTCCTCCAAATAAGGAGGATGCCTTCCCCATTTCTTTGCAAGCGTCTAAAAACAGCATTCTTACTTATTTAAAATCATTATTATAGTAAGATGGTAGCTAGTTTGGAGTCTTTAATTGTGCAGAGACCATAACAAAAAGGAAATGAATTACACTAACCTTTTGCTCCGGCCAAGAGCACACTTAAATAAACGTAATTTTGTCTCAAGTGCTTAGTTGATTACTCAGAAGCAGATCATGCTACTTTTAATATAATTACCTGATTGAATAACATCTATGAAAAATTGAGAAATAAGAGAAATATGAATGGAATTGCAAAAGAAATAAGAATGAGATGATCATTAAACACTATAGTAACAGCAGCCTGCAAACAATGGTAGAACTCTTCTGTATTCCTGTATATCCAAAATATTCCAAGATCGACATGCTGAAATACAGCAAATGTACCTTTCCTCCCAGATTACGCATGAAGAGTGGCATGCCCGGTACCCCGGTCTTTCCAGAGAAAACAAAGATGTTTGACCATATGTCTTCCTTGGGATAAGACAAAATTTGGTAATGTTGCAGTCACCAAAACCTTATTTTTGCTCCAGGAGAACCACTTACACCAGAGGCTAGTAATGATACAAGATCCAGCAGGGATAACATCACAGAAGATGCTTTGAGTTCTGTGCTCATCACCGGACCATCCAGCCCGTTTGTGCAGTTTCCCTCTTTCCACCTCTGTTTTGCACGATGAGAAGAATTTAGCATTAAGTATCTTCAGCTGCTTACAACTGCTTTTGTGCAAACTGTTTCTAAGGTGCTTCAACGTGGTGCTTCTGGGCAAGCTAAAAGAAAATACCAATGTAAACACTGTTAAACGATTCATGAATAAAGCCATTAACGCCCAGCTGCTGCCTTGGGGGAAGCTGAAGCCTATTCAAGTCTGACATTTCAGTTGCCTTCAACTCTTCTGCTACCTCTGTCCCAGCCCGTTTTTTTATTTTTATTTTTTCCTAATATTTCAACCCGCATTACACCTTGCCCAAAAGCTCCATTCCCACCAGTTCAGCTTTTCTTGAAGGGAATTCAAATTCTTTTGGCGTTTATAAAACTGCAAACAAAATTATGGATAGCCTGCTGAAAAGAGGTTTGCACACAAAGCTGTTTAGTAACAGCAAGAAGGATGAACCAACTACGCAGGAGGCAGATTTCCTACTGAGCAATAAGCTTCCTAGGTAGCACCTCTGTCCTTCATAACTTTCAAGCATCTCAAACCTCAAAATCAGGCACAAAAAGGCCCCTAAAGCCTCCAACATCTACTGAACACTCAAGATTTAGTATGGGGTATGTTTTGCGTGATACAACTAGCACACCTATGTTTGCTATGTTAACTCTCAAATCTCTATATATCCATAATTAACTATTTGGCCAGATTTCCATCTTCCCTTACCACAATAAAGGAAAGCAGCTTATCTAATAGTGCGCCTGATGCCATCAAGTCCTCTGCAAGCATAAGCAAAAACCACTCAGCATCCTCTATGTTTTAAGATTCGAGTTTGTTACTGCTCTTGGTAGCTAGACCCGAACTCTCCTGAAAGGTTTATTTTCTTCTGTCTTAAAACGCAAAGTTAAACCATGACAAATGTCTTAGCATTCGCTACAGAAGGGATTTGGGACAGAAATTCACTGATGGCAAATCAACCTGAACTACATTTGATTTTTGGTCACTTGGATTCTCTAACTGTTCACAATCTAACTGTTGGTCACTAATATACTTACCTAATATTTTAAATGTGCATCATCCTACTATATCAGTACAATTGTACAGTAATGTCTAAAACTTGTGAAAATGCTTTAATTGAAGCTCATTATCGGACTGCACTAGCTCCCAGGCTACTGGCAGATGCAAATACCACTGGTTTTGAGTCAGAAAACCCCAAGATGATCCAGGCCCTGAGATTCGCTTTCTCTCTAACACAGCATTTAGAAACAGCTAAACCCTAACACCAAGACAGAGAGTGAGTGAGCGCTGGCAACAGGATATTTTCAGTAACTCGCCCAGAACTGTGAAGTCTCTCTGGTCAGAATTCCCTTAGCTGGGCACACTGCAAGTCTTATTTATTTTCCCAAGCTACCCCTACAGTTAGGCAAATAGGATTTCGCATTTATATTCTGTAATAGCTGTACATGCGGCTAGAGATTCTGGTAGAAGCGATGTTTTATAAAAATCAAATAAATAAAGAGTAAAATCCATGTGCCAAGTTTGCTATAAGAAAGTGTCAGTTTGCCTCCCGTGTCGACCAAAATTAATATTGGATATAGTCAGTAGAAATGACTGCCAAGGTAGCAGTAACAAAGCCACTGTACAAACAGACAGGCAATAAAAATAACAAAATAGTTGCACAGTGTTGTCTTGGTGGCAATAGTATTATTTAGATCCTCAATTCTGACAATTTACTCACGTCTCCTCTCTCCAGCTCAGTGCAGAACACAGTACCGTTCATGATAACTGCTAGAAACCTCCATCATCTTACAGGAGACCACTTGTTAACTAGCATTTCCTGTGGGCCACAAGTGATTAAGTGAATGGATAAAGTGCAAAAAATTACACATACTTTTTGCTTGTGTTTTCACATAAAGTTATCAGTTATTGGCACTATGCAAACACAGACCTCCCAAATTAGCACTAATGCACAATACATTGGTCAGCTTTTTTTCTAGCAGTAATGAGCAAGTTAAATCATTTATGTTGAGTGTATTAAGTGCCCGATTACAAAATAAAAAATGTGGCCTTCATGGTAGGGTCTAAAAGCGTAAAGAAAAAATCCTAACACTGACACTTTTTTATGTACAACTTGGTCACTGGCAACGGTCCCCTAAACCATTTCTGTGAACCCAGCAGAACTATACAAAATAAGAAATAATATTTGCAACAGATCTCAAAGGACAGCGTAGAGAAATTCATTATGATGTACCTGGTGGTAGAAATTAATTTAACAGATACTGCCTGTAAAACAACACAGTATGAACCTGTGGATTTTTTTTTTCTTTTTAAAAAAAGGACTTTTACAGAATTCAAGTAGTGTAGCAGGAAACCGTAGATGCCTTTTGATCACAGGTCAGGCAAAATAGAGCCACTTATTGGATTTTTCCCTTGCTTCTGTTTGCTAAGGTGTCCCAATGGGTCTATAAGTCTGTTGATGTTAGTTTTTTCATGCTCCGTCGCTGAGCTAAACTTGAGGCTGCAACAGGCTCTAACACTGGTTGAAATGTCTTGTGATTCAGTGCAGAATACGTGGCAGCCATGGCTCCCTGCGGGACAAGAAAATACACAAAGGCTGTAAAAATCAGTTTTAATTGTGAAAGAGCAACAGAATATTCAATTCTAAATGAACTCTGATAGAAAACACAAGACTTGAGAGGTCATAAATATTTTCTAAGGTTTATTTTGAAATAGCATTTACTACCGAGTTCTTTGGGTTTCCAAGTATGGGTGTATGACATTCCTTTTTATTCCTCCTATATTTTCACTCCCTCCATATTTCTTTCACATACTTTAGATGCTGCAATAACCTTTAAATGTGGGTGAGAATTAGTATCTTCTAAACAATGTTAGCCTCAATTTATCAAAATCAGCACTTAACTGGATATCCATCTCCTGATTTATGAACGTGACAGAATTATTACCAGCTATCACAGGTCCTTGTTTCCAAACCCAACAAAAATAGAAACAAATCTGAATGAAGTAAAATCTATTTAGTGAGGAATTAACAAAAAAAACAGCCGACATTTGAGCTGTGATTAAACTCCATCTTATTAAGTCACACCACTGAATACAGAGGCTGCAAATGCACGGATTGCTCTGTCCATGGCTGTGCCCAGAAAAGGCAACACAATCTTGTGACCACGGAGAAGAGCTTGTGGCAGCACCAGGGGATTATTCTGGCATTAAGGAGTGACAGGGAACTCCAGGATGCCAATAACAGGCTGGAAGACCTTGGAGAAGAGGAGCCGCTGTCCATAATATTGCACTTCACAACTCAGCAAGACTCCAATCCAACAAAGCTAAGACAAAAGCAACTTCTTTATCTAAAAAGATATTTCCCTTTCTAAGTGTGGCCTCCTTCCTATTTATTTCCACACAGTTTATAAGAGTTTTCTCCTCTGCATTATGAGGAAATGAACATTTGCCTATTAATCCTGTGGCATCAATGAAACTACGAAAAGAAAAACTTCAGACAAAGTAACTACATTAAAATAGTTGCATCCCTTAACAGAGACTTCCTCGTGCTATATAAGCATTCTTTGTAACATCTTCCTCCTTCATTAATCCCTATTTACAGCTTCAGGCAGAAAGTGAAGAACAATACCCAACTGAAATCAGATGGTAATTTGGCAATGTTAATTAGCAATGGGGGAGAGGGCAGAGAATGTGTCTTTTCACAACTGGAAATTAAAATCATAAGAGGAGGGAGTAGGGGAGAAGGAATTGAGTTGTTTTACCTTTACTAAGTGTGGTGCATCTTGCCTGTTTAGCTGATAATGCGGCAGCTGATCCCTACAGGCTATCCATGAATGTTTCAGCACTTGCTCTGCTGTGTACCGCTGATGAGGATCTACGTGAAGCATGTGGGATAACAAGTCCTGGATAAAAGGGAAAACTGTAAGTGTTATTCAGTTAAAATAATTTGACCTCAGATTTTAAAGCAATAATTATGGTCTACAATGAAAGTAGCCTATGTGGCAGGGATTAACACAATGCAAACACACACAAAATCAACAAATGAAGTGGATCATTCTGTGCCTTGACACAGCTAAGGCCTGCAAACAATGTGCTGCACTATAACCCATTTAACAGAGCAGGCCTTGATTGTACGGAGACCTACTGTTGTTTGTGCTTCATATGTCCATTTGTTTATATCTGATACTGTCTTTAAAAAAAAATGACACCATCAAGCCTGACACTGGGCTAGAAATCCTCATCACTAAAATTCAATAGAAAGGTTTTCTGGAAGAAAGTTATTGGCAAATAGCCCTCCTCATTCCTACCATGCACTTGTCTTGTGACAATGCAGAATAAAAATCTTCAGTTGCATATCCCTATATATGAACTTGATTTAATTCCTACAAGAAGCTGTACAAACACTAAAACCAAACAGAAATGAACACTAGCTTTGCCCATTTAGAAGAATGGGCAGGAAGCTGGTAACTTCAGTGTTCTCCCAAAAGGAGAGCCGTATGGGAAGAGCACAGAACAAAACCGGGAAATAAAAGCAGGTTGGACTCGAGTACTTGTACTGCAGTGAAGCCTGTAGATACAACAGTAAATGGTTGTGCTGGGCTAAGATATTTTACAAAGTCAGGTAAATGCTCATTTGAGTTCTACAAAAAAAGACAAAAATAAATAAATTTACACCTTTGCTGCATCTGAAACAGTATCCCAGTTGCCTCCACTTAAAGAGAATTTTCCACTGCCTATCCGTACCAGAATCTCCTCAGGAGTATCATTAGGACCATTGGCAAATGGAGTATAGCTATTAGAAGAGCAGAGAGAGAAAGAGAAAAAGAATCATGTTATAAAAAGAAAAAAAATAAGTAAAAACCTCATAAATCATTCCATCTAGATATCCTATTGCTGACAGATAAAACATTACATATTATTAAGCATTTCTTAAATCAGGTTTTCCTCTTTGAAACTTTATTTTCTTTTTCTTAATTATGACTATTCAGATAAACTGAAAACGAAAACTAAAAAAGATATTTTAAGTAACTGTGTTAGAAGAAAGCATTCTAGCAAAAAAAAAAAAAAGATGTTTTAAGTAACTGTGTTAGAATAAAGCATTCTAGCAAAAAAAGGTCAAATAAATGGAAGTGAGTTATAACCAAAGTAATGCTAGACTGCCGGAGTATACAAAGCAACACAAAGCTAGAGCAGTATCCTAACAAGATGGCCTAATAAAGCTGGGAGTAATTTAGCGTTTGGGGTTACACGCATGCATGTGCATTTAATTAGAGAGAACAGGAGCACAATGGACATGCACATGCATCTATCATTTGGGGAAAAAAAAAAAATCAACAAGTACTCTGTTAGATTCTATTAATGAAGTTTGGGAGGCAGAAGACATTAGGTTGTTGGTTTTGCAGGCTTTTAATAGTTTACAGGATTTCCTGAAAATTCTGATTATTTTCTACAAAAACCTGCTGCCAAGAGCACAAAAGAATTAAAAAGTCAGTTATCTTAATGACTTAAATACACCTTTTAGCAAAGCTGAAACTATTGCTATTTCCTATGCTCATAGGCAACTACTAAGCACAAGGTAACTATTCTTACAAAAAAAAAAAATCATAGCCAAGTCTTATATTAAATAGTCGCATTGTAAGATGCTTTAGATTTCCAATTAGCATGACAGAAATAAAGCTCAGTAGTACTTTGAAAGTTCTCCTGAAATCAATCAAAGGTCTGGGAACTACCTCAGCTAGTTTAATTCTCCTTCTGCAGCTAACGAACTTAACAGGAACCCAAAAGGAAGGATCTGAGGACATGCTGGCTCCTCTCCCCATGCTTCTGGCCTGTCATACCCTCTGTGCAGCCAGCAACGTCTCTCAAGCGTGCAGGCAGGGCACTGCCCCATGTCTGCATGCTTGCACCCAAATCAGGCAGAAAACTGCATTTGCAGAGCTAAACTGCAGCCGTGGTGGGGATTTTTTCATGGAAATACACAATACGATCGGGAAGAGTTTGCAATTACCTGTATTTATCTGTAAGACACAAGGTCTTATGAATTTTCTGCTCAACAGAACAGAATTTAGTGGCAGACTAACAGAGGTTTAAATTCCCTGCTTGCTTCACAGTGATTCCTGAGAGTTCAGCTGAGCCCAGGTGGATGCCCAAGGACCCGGTCGGTGTTTAAAGGTGACGGGGCAGCAGTTCTTATAAGAGCCACACGTCAAGTCCCCAGAAGGGGCTACAAGAAGCTGGACTGCATGGGCAGTGGCATGGGGAGGACAAAGAGAGAAGGAAAAAGAAGAAAACCAATGCCTATTTTCAGAGTAAGTTCTTTTCCCTAGACTGTGGGGAGGCTGTGGCATTCCACAGTCATGCATCAAAGAAGAGATTCCATGAATCTATATGCTAGGTAAGTCCAGCTATGTCTGCACTTAATAGCTTCCCCTTCCACTTCAGGGTCTCTGTCATTCTGCATCCAAACCAATGATGAGGTATCTTATTTTAACGAATGCATAGATTCTTGCTGGAATATTACATAAACACATGAAAAAAGAAGTATTTCTCACCCTGCCAACATTGTGTAAAGAAGAACACCCAAGCTCCATATGTCACAAGCAGCATCATATCCCTGTCGCATGAGAACCTATAAAACAAAGAGCTGTTGAGGTTCTTATCTAGCTGTATAAAAAAAAATTACCTTTACCTCTTCTACACAAACAATTCAAGGAAGAATAACTCAACATCAGGATAATTTCTGAGGTTTGATCATTCGTTGCTCAATATATAGATAACAGTAACTATCAACAGTATTTTGCATTCCCAAAATACGATCATTTAAGTTTTTCAGTAGGCTTATATCTTATTTTTAAGTGTAGAGTTCTTAAGGTAGGTTTATTACAAATGTATGCACCAGTCAATGTTTTTAAAGTATTAATATTTAAGGAAATTCAGCAGATTTTTAAAAAACTTTTTTAAACAGTGTTACAAAGTTGCATTAGTTGATACATCAAAAACAGAACAAAGAAAATGCACCAGCTTGAGATACCTCTGGTGCCACAAAGTTTGCAGTGTAGCAAGGAGTCAGTAGTAGTCCATTTTCTCCTCGAAGTTGTTTTGCAAACCCAAAATCGCAAATCCTGATAGAATCAGCATTATTTGAATCATCAGTATATAAAATATTACTAGGTTTAAGGTCCCGATGCACCACCTTTAAATAAAGGAAAAAGATCTGTCAGAGTTGCCTGTACATACGTTCATGCATATTTTGTCATTTACTATAGTTATTAACAGTTCTACACAATTACATCAGTTCTTCTTTCAAGTACCACAGGAATTCTATTTTAAGCAATCTCATTAAAAAAAAACCTACTGATTTATAATGCATTTGGAATTATCATAAGCAATGTCCAAACAAGCAGAAGAGAATCATCTGCTGCTTCATGAACTGTAAAAGCAGAGTTGAAAGGGTCGCCAGAATAACAGGATGGGTTTATATCATTCACGTGTTTCGAAATACTCTGAAATCTTCTTCTGCCTTAAAAATAAGCCAACCAAAGCACATAACAAAAAGCATTGGCTAATTGTAAGAAGTGTGAATGCAATTAGGTCATAAAAGAAAATACTCACTCCTTGGCAGTGCAGGTAGTCCACAGTCTTGGTTATGGTAAATAATACAGCACTAGCCTCTCGTTCCGAGAAAAACTTCTGCCTGAGAATTCGGTCAAGCAGCTCCCCTCCTTTCATGAGTTCAGTGACAAGGTATATGAATCTACCATCATCATAAACCTGAAGAAATTTAATAAGCACATTTTACATGTACATACACACACACACACAAACATATACCCCCATACAAATTCATTCAGATCTCCTATGATGATACATCCTGAAAAGCGTGAAAACTACAGGCTAGATTGCAGACCTAGTCACTTACATGAATATATAAAGCACAAACAGGCACTGTCATATTTAATTCTACAATTGAAGAGTCTGATAGCATTAAGTATAAAAAAAAGCTTGCATGTCATTCTGTGAGATGCAGAGATAATAGATTACTAAATCATTGAGTCAGAACTCAATTTCTGCAGTCTAGGAACTTTTGTTCAAAGAAGAGACTAGCTCTGTTTCTCCCTATGCTTCTTCCCCTGCACAGACTATTTTTAGCTGCTGGCACTTTGCATACACACGACTATGCAACTGCTTGTTCAGCATCCGATTACCAATACATTAGCCGGTTGTATTTGAAAGGAAAAGAAATGGGACAATCTCTAAAACTAGCATCATTTTTCACTTGTTCATTAAAATTTGTTCAGTAATATCATTCTGCGACTTTTCCAGATGCTCACAAAGACTTCAGGACGAGCACAATGAACAAGATTTGAATTTCAAACCCAGAAGTGACAAAAGAACTCCTGGAAGAGCAGGGCAGGCAAAGAAACCTTAGTAAAGTTGTCAGTCACAGAATTTTCCTTCTTTCATTCATCCCTCAAAGTTTAAACCAAGAACAAAATTTGGTTTCAAAAGATTTTTTTTTTTAACTTCCCTTTTTTGCAGGGGTGGCTATGGGGAGGGTTAAAGCAGAGAAGCTTAGGAGATTAAAAGAACATTCAGAAAAAGATTAATATTAAGATTAATGGTATATTTTGAAATATTTAATATAGTACTATGTATGGTGGTCTTTGAATACATTTTGCTGAGGAAGAGAAACATGCAAACCCCATCACTGCACATCTATGTATAGATTGACTACTGTATAATACGAGGTGGTAGAGAAAGAGAGGGGTACGTACATCTTTTAAAGTAATAATATTTGGATGCTGTCCATAGCGCATCAAAATCTCGATTTCTTCTGAGGGATCCCTCTTACTTTTATCAATTATCTGTAAAGAACAGCAACAGGAAAAATCTTGGCTAAGCAAAGTCTATGTCACAAAGAAAATTTGTTTAAAAATTATATTCTCTCTTCAGGAGGTGAATCAAATTTTTCCCAAGTTCATCACTTCTTATTAATCATGACTAATTTATCTACAAATTTCACATCTTATAACCTTACTTGATTTTTTCATTATTCTTGCTATCAGTTAAGTCTGTATCATCAGTACAGTCTATGGTGCTCCAAAGGCCAGTGACACTCACTGCACTGTCTGAAGTGCCAGTGTGTCCCTGCAGCCACCTCCACCCTCACACATTTCTTATTTTACTTCAGGTGTGTTCATTGTTTTATACTCTCAGGCTTCCAACTTAGATAATCAAAGCCAGAATCCTTCACAGAATTGACACGCAGTTCATCAGTGATTGAACTGCCACCACGAGAACTACAGAGGACAATACACAATTTCACTGAAAGAAGAAAATTGTATTTTTCATTTCTCACAGCACGAAAGCAGCTGCAATATCTGAAAGGAAGCAATTCAGAAAAGTTATGGATCCGCTGCATAAGTTTCACAAGTGTCAAAATAAAATATATTCCAAGTACCTTTACAGCAAACTCCATATTTGTAGCTATATGTATACATCGCTTGCAAACAGAGTAGGAACCAACACCAATATCTTCCTTCAGCTCATAGACATCAGTAAACTGTGCACTGTTTCCATGAAGTTGCTTTGAAAAACAAACACACACAAGCCGTCAAATAAGCACAAAAATGCTCTTTGCCATACCACTATTTTAAGCAGCAGAAGTTTCTTCTGCTTGGCCATGCTTTGTATTTGAATTTTGCCTACAGAGAAATAGAAAAACCTGGAATAAAGCTTTTCTGTCAAATTATCTTAATAACACACCTTCTATAACAGTCTTACTAATAAAACAGCAAATACTAAATATTGGTCAATTTGGGACATTTCAAAAAAACAGTTTATTTAAAAATACATTTTACCTGTACTATTGGCAATATATTGGTGAGCGGTGACATTTTATGATCTTCTACTGTAGTAGTTGCAACAAAACTAAACCCTTTGAAGAGCTGATGTGCATTTGCGCTGGGTGGGACTCCTGGAGAATCTAATTGCAAATACACTTGATTAACATCACACACTTGTATCCCAGCAAAGATTTTTTCTTTAAAACATTCACAACAAGTATGTCCAAAGAAACACAAAAATACATACAAAAATACACAATTAACATCACTGAAAAATTAGAACCAAGTTTTTCCCCAGATAATCTTACACACACCTTCCTCTGAGGACACTCTGTTTACATTCCACAGTTTCAAACATTTAATAGTTCTGTGATCTGTATTAGAATGTGAACTGTAAACGTCCAAATGAGATACCTAGTTTTAAATGCTGGACGCAACAGTAAAGATAACATTCCCAAAATAAACTCTGAAGTGAACGCATGAGTGTTAACATCTACTGCTTAGCATGTCTCACTAAGTTCAGTTACCAGCATATTTTCATAGTGCTGTAATGTCTAAGAGATATTTCAAAAACAGTTTTTTTTTAAACTTCTCAAAGTACTCGTGACACCTTGGAAATTGAGCCAGGTCTACAGACCCCATCAACACAGGCTACACTGCAACGTTTCCCCACACTTCTCTGCCTTTACATTAACACTCCCCTGCCTTTTCTCAAGAGCAGAGTCACATTCAGGATGGCTAGTGGGTGGAGGAAGAGCTCAATGAAAAATTGTCTATTATAATGTTAATTTAAGGTTAATTTTAATAATAATAATAATGATGATGAATAGGCTCAAGAAAGTTATTTAGAGCAAGTCAATTACAGAGGAACAGTGATCCTGAATAATAATTGCTATTGCAATCAAATTTAGTTTGCTTTTAGCATCAAATAGATTTAGGTATATATGTGCGTGTGTGTGTGTGTGTATGTATGTGTGTGTATATATATATATATATGTATATATATGTATAAAGCACTGCATTAAAAAGCTATAAGCACATTTCTAACCTTGGGCCATAACTAAGAACTTACATTTCAGCTGCAAGTATTCTGCCCTTTTTCGTGAATGGAAGTTTGGCAGGATATTCCACTACACTCATTAGAAAACACTCTCCTGGAAAGTATTGGAGTTGTGCTGCAAATTGTGTCGGGGCTTTTTCCTTGTGTAGACAAAAGGGAAGTCAATACTTGAGATTCCCTTTCAACAAACTCTACTAGGTATTAACATCAAAAGGAAAAGCAAGGCTGGACAGATTAAGACAATATCAAGATTAAACCCTTTTCCTCTTTACAGCAGAGCTAGGTACTTTCCTTGCCTTTGCATCTGGGTAAGCCACAGTTAAAAGGAAAAAATATATATTTTTATACATATATATATTTTTTTTGATATGTCACAGTATCCTCTAAGAGAGTGTTAAGTTTACATACTTCATATTTTGAATAAAATTAAAAACATCAATCATTCAAATTTCCATTTTAATCTACAAATAACAAAAACATTAGTTTGTTTATCCGTGAACCTCATCAATTCTTAACCAGAATACATACAATTACCTTTTGGTGTTTTTGCTGTGAATTCTGGATCAAAACAAAAAGTATCTTCTGGTTTTCCAGAAGCAGGTTTAAATGGGGGTTGAATTTCTCTTCTGAATAGTTTCTGAAATAAGAAAACATGGCCATATAAAACTGTGAATTAAATTTGCACGGGCAGTGTAACTTTGCCCAGCTAAAAGGTAACTAAAAGGTCATTGTTATACTCAGAACATTTCAGAGAAACATTTTAATACACAAAAAAAACACAAACACATTTGCAAAAAAGGACTTTCATGTACCTTTTATTTGAAAAGTTGAGTAAGGGAGATGTTACCAAGCAAGTCAAACATGAAGCATGGCATGTTTGCTTCTTCTGGAGCTACAGGATCTACCATTCTGTATTTTTTCAAGTGCTGTAAGAGGCAGCCATGTGGAACAGCCCCCATGAGCCCAGCTGCCGCTCACTGCGGAGAACGTGCAACAGCCACGGTGCCTTTTACCTTCTATTATCATCTCAGACCCGGGTCACTGCTACTTCAGAGAGCTGCCA